GTGTCGTCTTCTCTGAAGATGCTTTTTTTTCCTGTATCTTTATGATGCTCCCCCTCCTGGTCACTGCGCTGTTTTTCTATCAGGTCACTGTGATGTGTACTGTCGTGCCGCAGCATGGATGCCTTCTCTCTGTGTGGCATCTTTTTAAGATTCTTATATCTGGCATATCACTATAATAATGCTTCTTTCTGTTACATTTCTACATAGCTACATCCTCCTTGTTGCGTCAATATGAAGATGCTCTTGTTTGTGGCATCTTGTTCAGGATGATATTCCCCAGTCCATTTTTATCAAGTTTCTTTTTTTTAGGTGCGCGATCGTGAGGTATCTTTTCTGTGGGGCATCCTTCTTCCCAAAATTCATTTTACCGCGTTGTACTTTTAATATATTCTTTCGCCCGCCATTCTTATAGAAATGGTTTTCCTTTTCCATGTTACTATCAAGATTCTTCTCTGTATTGCATTTTTTTTCTGACAATAGTTTTTTCTTCTGGGGCTCTCATGAGGTTCCTCGTGCCACGTCATTGTGAGAATTTTGGCTGCTGTGGTATTTCTTTTACGAAGACTCCTGTGACCGCTTCATATCGATGATATTTTTCTGTTTGGCTGTTTTATAAAGATGCTTCTTCCTTTTATCATTTTACTGCGAAGGGATTTTTTTGCGAGGCATCTTTTTTCTGAAGATACATCCTTTCCGCGGCATTCCTATGATGCTATTTTCCGGCGCCAGCTTGAATATCTTGTTCTGTGTTATCTGTTTTATATGGATGATCTTTCCTCCGCCGGCATCTTGAAGATGTTTTTTTCTGTGTTAGTTGATTTAGGTTGATTTAACTTCCTCGCGGAATTCTGAAGATCTCCCTCGGCGTGTGATTTCCTGTATGAAGATTCCCTTTCTGCGCCACAGGGTATAAGATGCTGTCTTGTTTCTTATCTTTTGTATGAAGATGTTTTCTTCTCCTAGTATCTTCAGTATGTTTCTTTGTCGAGTCATCCTGAAGATGTCCCTTTGCCTTCATTATTGTGGAAATGTATTTTCAGGCCGCATCATTAAGAAGATGTCCTTCTGGTTGCTCCCCGGTTGATAGGCTGTATTGTATTTCATTCTTCTTTATTAGAATTTTTTCTCCGGTAATATTCTGATCGCCTTTTTTTTTCTTTCTATGTAGAGCCATTATGAAGATATTCTCTTTCTTTGGCTATTTAGGAAGAAGGCCACATATGTGAATTGTAAATATCATAAGCATACCGATGTGGTAACATTACAAAACAGGAATAATATACCCATGTGTAAAAGGGCACTTTCTTCCCTGGTGTATTATTGCTCTTGAAGTGATGATGTTCATTGAGTTGTATTAGGTGAATAGCGGTTTTACCTGGATAACACTGCTATTT